TCCAGGAGTGTTTTACCTGGCTGGCATTGTGAGCTGGGGATATGGTTGTGCCCAGGCTATGAAACCTGGTGTGTACTCCAGAATTACCAAACTCACAGACTGGATCCTGGACACCATCTCACAGTTGCCCAGTCCTGGCACAGGCATCCCTTCCAGTTCAGCCATCACCAGAACTTCCAGCACAGCCGTCCTCACCCAGCCCAGCACAACAGCTGCAAGTCCAACCAGCAGAACCACCCTGGGAACGAAGATGAGCACAAACACGAGTGAAAACTCTGAAGCTCTGAGAACAACTGAACCTGCCAAGCCCACGCAAGCCCCAGGTAAAACTGATGACAGATGTACTGACATGTTGGTAGGAGGCCTCCATCACAGGGAGTACTGAGCAGGCCATGGGTTATTCCCTTCCAGTGGTGCCTTGTACCAGCTTCACCTTCAAGTGTTCCAGCAAGGTGTGTATTGGAAAAGAAAATCCTGAATGTGATGGTGTTGTGGACTGCAGCAATGGCTCTGACGAGCGCAACTGTGGTGAGTCCTGCTCTGCAGCCCATGGTCTACACGACCCAGACTCCCCAGTGCAACCCACCACATTCACACTGCCTGTCTTGGGCCCCACACTGGACACTGGGGGCCTGGGCCAGCCCACTGTAGTCCAGGTCCTACTTATTCAGCCAGAATCTAAACCAAGATAAAGCTGGATGAGCAGGGTCCAAATTTTCTGCCAGAAGGTGTGGCCTCTTTTCCTCTGCTACAAATATTAGAAACCATTTCCAGCACACCAGCCTTCTGGCCAGTCAGTCTGGTAGCACAAAGGTGGCAAGACAACTCTCCATAACATGGCAGCCTAGAAAATGTCTTGTCATCCCTGGGACTGCTCCTTGGTCTGCACATTCCTTGCTGTGTGGTAGCTCAGCCAGTCCATCCAAATGTTCCCTCCTCACATACCACAGCCCTGGAAGGTGTGATCTGTGATAACAATTTCACAAACCATACCCTGTCTGCCAAGCCTTGCTTCAGCTGGGTGAATGGAATTCATCACATCCCATTGCCCTGTGCACGCCCCCCCCGAAGGCTGTCCCACCGCACGGGCTGTGGAGGACAGGCAGACACCCTTTTCACTTATGTTTATTTAAAACCACGATGCTTCTTCCTCTGTCCCAGACTGTGGCCAAACAACTGCTCTGGCCTTCAGCAAGATCGTGGGTGGCAGCAGCGCAGCTCGAGGGGAGTGGCCCTGGCAAGTCAGTCTGTGGCTTCGGCGGAAGGAGCACAAGTGCGGGGCTGTCCTCATTGCTGACCGCTGGCTGCTCTCTGCAGCTCACTGCTTTGACATGTAAGTCTGAGACGGGCTAATGAAGCCAGCTGGCTCTTGGCCCCAGTCCCATCAGCCCACCTGCCCTTGCCCTCCCTGGCAGCCCAGCACCGTGGCTGGGATGTTGTGCCCCATGAGAGGCACACATTCCCTATCACAGGTGTGCCCCCACAGGTAAGTGGGAAGAAGAATGAGTGGAGCAAAACCTGGGTATGCCTAGTGTGCTGCAGACAGGGGCCCTGGCCTCACGAGGTGTGGCCATAGTGCATCCCAGCCCCACAAGAGGAGGAATGGCCCTCCTTGTGAGGCCGTGCTCCTAACAGCCAGGTTTGCTGTCTTTCTGCAGTTACAGTGACCCCAAAATGTGGGTGGCCTTTCTAGGAACACCCTCCCTGAGTGGCATCGATGGCAAAATGGAGAAAATATTCCGTATCTACAAGCACCCTTTTTACAACATCTACAGCCTGGACTATGATGTGGCACTGCTAGAGCTGAGCACACCTGTCAAGTTCAGCAACACCATCAGACCAATATGTCTCCCAGACAGTTCTCACATCTTCCATGAAGGGGCCAGATGCTTCATCACAGGCTGGGGCTCCACGAAGGAAGGAGGTACTGGTTGAGAGGGCCCCCTCACATCCATGATGGCCTCGATGGTCACCTACCTTGCACGCTTCAACACCTACAGTTCCAAACACCACTGTCCCCAGCACTCCCCAGGCCAGGCTGGACCCTGCAGGGAACACCAAGCTGGGCAAGGCCTGGTATCACTACCATCTCCTCCCCTGCCACCATGCACTGTACTCGTCCATTTAGCCACACCTCTGCCCTCTTGGAGCCTTCCCAAGCTTTCTACATGCCAGCCACTATGCTCCCCGTCCCCACAGCAGCTGCTCCAGCTCTGCTCCTGCAGTACAAGGACCCAGTGCCATTTGTATCTGGTCAGCTGAGCTGCTGGACAAAGCACACACCCAAGGGACCTTTCTGTGCCTGCTCTGCTGGGGAGGAATCAGGCCTGACTGACTTTCCCAGAGCAGGTCTTTCCCTCTGGAGAGGCTGCAGAGACCCCACTCTTACACACGCTTCTGCTTCTCACGTGCTCTGCGCCCGGTCAACATCAATACTTGTCTCCTCAGGTCTCATGTCAAAGCATCTGCAAAAAGCAGCAGTGAACATGATCGGAGACCAGGCCTGCAAAAAGTTCTACCCTGTCCAGATCAGCAGCAGGATGGTGTGTGCTGGTTTCCCACAGGGCACCGTCGACAGCTGTTCAGTGAGTGAGAGCAGCAAACACTGCGGCTGGGACAGAGCAAGTTTGTGCCAAGTCCCCAGGCTACATTCTCTCAGGAGGGCCCTGCCTCCCCCAGCTCAGCTGTCTGTCCATCCATCATGGCTGTTGCCTTTATCCATGTCCATCCTGCATACACCTCGTGTTGCTTGCTTGCCCCACCAACCCATGACAGGTCAGGGAAACACAGAGAGAGGTAATGCCAAGCAAAGGACCACAGGGATACCTTGGAGCCTATTCCATGATCCTATTGTACCTCCAAACACACTCTTCCATGTTCCAGAACCCCAACGTCACATTGTTCATGCAGGTACATCACTGAGCAGTCCTCTAGCTTGGAATGTGGCTCCTGGGGAAGTGGGGAGCAGGACAGCAAATGCCCATGTCCCAGAGAGAAAGAACATCTCAAAGCTGGGGGAGCTGGGCTGCCTCTGGCTTGATACTATACCCTTTTCCTCTCTCTGCAGGGCGATGCAGGCGGGCCCCTGGCATGTAAAGAACCCTCAGGGAAGTGGTTTCTAGCAGGAATCACAAGCTGGGGCTATGGCTGTGCCAGGCCATACTTCCCTGGTGTCTACACCAAAGTCACAGCTGTCCAGGGCTGGATTGCGCAGAACCTCAAGCTCTGAAACTGCATTTCACCACTCAGGGAAGGCAACGAATGAGAGCAGTAACTGCCAGAGGAGGCACTAATCCCTCAGCTATTTTATGATGTTGCAAAAGGGTGAAGATGGCCTTGCAGGTATTAAGCACATGCCAGTGTTGTGTGACCCGCTGGTTGTGACACCAGGGCATTTGATAACTGCTTTGCATAGAAAGGTACAAATTCTAGACATTTTCCATAAATAAATGAGGCCTGTCCCAACTTAAGACCTGGCCAAACATCCTACGCATTAAAACATGACCTTTCTAGTTGGAGGGGTGTCCGAAACATCTGGCAGATATTCATGGAGTTTGGCTGACCTCTGCCTATGAGCTGTCATCCCAAAGCCAAGCCAAGAGACTGGTGAACTTTGTCCCAGCCCAAAGTTATGCCCTTGCAGAAGCCTCAGACCTCACTGCCTTGGTGGAGCCGTTGTGCTGTGCAGTGGCTTTTGGGAAGGGTGTGCTGCTGTTTTCACTCAGTGCCTGAGAGCTCAGTGATGACCTTCTGGCTCACCATTTGATCCCAAGAGAAGACAGGACTAAAATGCTTGGAGTTCACACTGCAAAGGCCCTGATCTGTACTGGAGGATCAAGACAGGCTTCTCTACACCCTCCATACACCCCCACCCACCCAACCTCCCCCCAGCTCCTTTTGCACCAGGGAACAGGTGATTAAACTGATTAAGGCATGGTCATACAGACCACTGCTCTGGTTAAGCTAGGTGGGAAAAATTCAAAGTGCTGACATAGGGTGCAAGGATATAACTCCTTCAGTAGGAAGTCAAGTCCCAGCAGCCAGCATATGACATGCAGACAACTTTGTTCATAAGAAAAAAACTGCTGCAGAGCTCATGTGCCAAGTCTTGGGCAGACTTAGACATCTCCCCATAGATTCAGCCACCAAAACTGAACAGCTGCTTGTACCCCAAACCCCTTCCTCATTTTTGGTGCTTAAGCTCTGCATCTGGGCATAGCAAGAGGTTTCTTCTGTCTCAACCCAGCTGGCAGTGAGATCCACCACCTTCCCAGCCAGAGCACCAGCAAGGTGGGAGACCTGGCTTCCAGGCATGGCTGAGCTCCACATGGGTTCAGATCCATGGCTGCAACACTTGTGGGATGGTCCCATGAATGAAATGGGATGGGACTGCTGCACAGCCAGTGCCACAAAACTCATACAGCCATAAATAAAAGTAAAAAGGCCCCTAAGCAAACACGGCTGAAAGCACTTTATTTTCAAGTAGTCATTCTGACAATCTGGAAGGGAAACTCCAGTTTCAGTAAGTTCAAATACCCAATTATCTCCTCAGTTTATCTTGTGTAAGAACAGTTCAGTCCCTTTATAGAAATCACCACATTGGGAGATTAAATGAAATCAGGTTCTGCCACATCCCTTTGAATGTCCTAGCAGGTATGGAGACAACATCCTTCGTCTGTCTCCATGTCCCAGCAAACAGTGAAATCTTTTATAAAATGCAGATCTCCAAAAGGAGGGATTTCAAAAAACCTCTCTATAGAGACACAGGCACCGTTAATCTCCAACACTCTCCTCTTGCAGCTGCTGTACCCACTGCCGACTATACAGCATAAACCCAGCTTTTCAGGAGAGGTGTGTAAGCAGAGAACAATACAGAGTTGAGCACCAAAGCAGACCCACATCCTCTGTTGCAGACATGCTCGTCCCTCAAAAAAACGATGCCTAGAAGGTAGGCTCCAAGATGGAACGTCTGTGCCAGAGCCAAACCAGAAGTTAGAGAGTATCACAGCAACACAACACACTTTATTCTATAAAGAAATGAACCCAAGTACTTTATTCTGTAAAGAAATTAATCCATCCACTTCCCAACCCTGTCCATCCCCCTAGCTGTGCTGGCACAACTGTTTGCAAGGCTGTGCTGCAACTCGTTCCCCAACACTGTGCTTGAGCTGAGTCAAAGCCTATGAGCCCAAAGTGAGCCCCACACAGAGATACACAGATACAAGGGAAGAAAGAGCCAAGGTGGCATGTGGAGAATATTATGGCAGCTTTTCTACTGATGAAAAAGGGCTGTGTAACTACCTGATGGCTGGGTCCATGCTGGAATCCCGGGCAAAGGGACCGTGTTGCCGGCTTGGCTTGGCCCCTCTTTTCCACAGAAGGCTCCTTGCCTCTCGCAGCCCTTTCAGCAGGGATTTATCGAGTGCTATAATGCCTTGGCCAGTCTGGACGGTTGGGAAGGGCAAGAAGTAAATCAAGCAGCTCATGGTGGCTCTCAAGGCTGGAAAAAAATCACTCGCTCCTGGGACTGGTGCTAATAAAGGCCAATGGATGCAAAAGGTTTAGCGAGGGTTTATTGCTCTGCCACGGCAGGGGCTGGGAAGGCAGCAGGATTCACCCCCAACCACCTGGACTGGCCACTCGTCCCTTCCCCACATGGTCCCTCCTGGCCCGGAACGCATCATCACATGTTGGCTCTCTCCCGCTGCAGCCGGGAATTGTAGGCTCGGGAAACCGTGTTCCAGGAGTCCATGTACCGGTCCATGCACATGGCGATGCACTTCTGCGGGACACAAAAGCCTCAGCGGCCGCCCCGAGCACGGGCACCGCGGGTCCGCGGTTCTCCCGCCCGCCCTCACCTGCTCCGAGTTGTCCAGGGAGCCTCCGGGCTTCCCGATACACTTCCGAAAGCACTTGTCCGTCATGCGCTGTGGAGAGAGCCCGTGAGCGGCACCGCGGCCCGGGGGCTCCGGCCGTGAGGGGAGCGGGACGGGGACGGGGACGGGGACCGGGACCGAGCCAGCCCCGCCCGCGCCCGCCGCCCCTCCTGACCTGCAAGAGCTCCTGCGCGTTGGCCACGGCGATCTGCACCTTCACCTGCTCCATGATGAGCCCCGGGTCCAGCTTCCCCCCGCCGCCGCCCCCGGAGCCGAAGTCGGAGCCGAAGCCGCTCTCCATGCCCTCAGTGCCCGCGCTGCCGGCGAAATGGCGGCGCCCGGACTGCGGCTCCCGGCGGGCCCCGCGCCGGGCGGGGCCGAGCCGAGCGCGCCGGCGGCGCCTCAGCGGGGCCGCGGGGACCGTGTGCCCAGCGCGGGTGTCACCGCCGGCCGCGGCTCCCGGAGAGCTCCGAAGGGACTCCCCGGGGCGGGGTCGGGCCGAGCCCAAGTCAGACACTGCGTTCGAGTCCCGGGGTTCAGCGCAGCCCCACGGAGGGGCGAAGGGAAGGGCCTTTAAACCGGCAGCACCAGAGAGACGAACGCCGCCCAGGTGCCCTGCGGCGGAACACCAGCGGTTTGAGCTGGGCTCCCCACAGGGAGCAGCTCCTCGGTGGGTTCTCTCTGGAATTCACCCTTCCAGGCAATGACGTCGTTTCCTCTGCCTTACGTGACTCGGGGGAGAGGCTCGTGCCCTTAATTCTGCCTCAATTCTATTGCGGTCTCCTCCGTTAAGTAAGAACGCTCTGGAACGCGGTAGAAGCAAATGGGACACGACAACACCACGGAGCTTTTTTTTTTTTTCCGGGGGAAGATGTGATATGCGGGAAAGAGCTGGTATGACAGAAGGAACTGACAGCAGAGCTAAAGCCAAAACTGCTCTCATCTTCACTAGCTAGAGCCCACACTCAGGGTATTGCAAACTGTCATCCTGTCTGTCGATCTGCCCACTTCAAACAGAAGACATTCCTACACCTCACAGGAGCATCATCAGCCAGTGCTAATGATGGGGCAACCGCCTAAGGTACAGTTTTATCAGCACGGACTGGAAAGTGGGCTGGAAGGTGCGCGGCAATGCTTCTGCCCATCCGAAGAATCCATCCCAGCCAGAGGTCGGTATCTGCTCTCATTCTCACGTCAGGATCAAGCAGGTTCAGCTGGAAGGCAGGAGGGCTCTGCAGAGGGACCTGGATAGGTTGGAGAGTTGGGCTGATTCAACCAGGCCAAGTGCCGGGTCCTGCCCTTTGGCCACAACAACCCCCTGCAGCACTACAGGCTGGGGACAGAGGGGCTGGAGAGCAGCCAGGCAGGAAGGGACCTGGGAGTTTGGATTGACAGGAAGCTGAACAGGAGCCAGAGTGTGCCCAGGTGGCCAAGGCGGCCAGTGGATCCTGGCCTGGATCAGGAACAATGTGGCCAACAGGTCCAAGGAAGTGATTCTTCCCCTGGACTCAGCGCTGGTGAGGCCACCCCTGGAGTGCTGTGTCCAGTTCTGGGCCCCTCAGTTCAGGAAGGACATTGAGGTCCTGGAGCAGGTCCAGAGGAGAGCAACGAGGCTGGTGAAAGGACTGGAGCACAAGTCCTATGAGGAGAGGCTGAGGGAGCTGGGGCTGTTTAGCCTGGAGGAGGGTCAGGGGAGACCTCCTCACTCTCTCCAACTCCCTGACAGGAGGGGGGAGCCAGGTGGGGGTTGGTCTCTTTTCCCAGGCAGCTGTCAGTAAGACAAGAGGGCTCGGTCTTAAGCTGTGCCAGGAGAGGTTTAGGTTAGATATTAGAAAGAATTTCTTTCCAGAGAGGGTAATCAGGCATTAGAATGGGCTGCCCAGAGAGGTGGTGGATTCTCCGTCCCTGGAGGTTTTTAAGACTGGATGTGGCATCAGTGCCCTGGTCTAGTAACTACAGCGGTACTGGATCAAGGGTTGAACTTGATGATCTCAGAGGTCCCTTCCAACCCAACTGATTCTATGATTCTATGGAAAAACACCTTCAGTGCAAGGGTGATAAGAAGGGGATGGTTTCCTGCTCCAGCTCCTGATGTTCTTCCTGCTGCTTTTGTTGCTGCTGATCAGAGAGGACAGCACTTTCCATCAGCGCTGCGTCCCATTTAAGGAAAGCGCTGTTTGCTTCTGGAATACACCCTGCGATCCCCACTGTGACACCCCACGATCCCTGCTGTGACACACCCCCCGAACCCTGCTGGGACATCCCACAGTCCCCGCTGGGACACACTCAGCTGATCAGTCTTAGGAGCAGGGACAGCTCTTTGTGTCCTCTCTCTCTCCACACAGGAAGGTCCCCCCCGGGGATGAATCATCTCAAACAGGCCACATGGCCTCTAGGTTGGTTAAAAGAAAGAAGGAAACCAGTAAAATGCAAAACATTTATTCGAGTGTGTTGTACAAAAAGTTTCCAGTCATAAAATGTATATTACAAATCATTGAAAAAGACAAGACATTTGGCATGCATATTCTAAAAAGAAAAAAAAACACTTTGAAATGATAAAGTCTAGATCATTATGTAGTTTTTTAAAGTTCCAAGTGAACAGTTTAATAATTTTGTCTTCTGTGTTTCAGTTCACAACCTTTTTCACAATTCCTTATTTTAAAAACTTGAACCTTCCAAAAACTCATCTGCAGCAGCTGACTGGAGGCAGTCACTGCACTGAGCAGTGCCCTCGAGCCAAATCAAAATTGTGCCCCCCAAAAATTTAAAAATTAAAAAACAAAAATCACGATTCAAGTCACGAGGCATCACTGCTATGAAAATAAAAGTTCAACTGCATTTTGTGCCCAAATGGAAATCATTTTGGCTTAAACTTAGAATAGATTATTGCTTGTACTTTTAGTGTAATACACAGTAACATCTGCCTTACCAACACAGACTCATCACTTCAGTAAAAGCTAAGTAGAAAATCTGAAAGTTCAATAAACCACATTTTATTTTCCTGAACTCCAAGTCAAATCACTGCTTATGCTATTCTGAATGGAGGCTTTCAATATTGGCCATCCTTTTCATTCTAGACCTTAGCATTTCAAGAAAGGCATTATGTTTACAAATAATAATTGCATGTAAATATGGTCTTGTATAAAAAAAACAAACACCTTTAAATAATTTTAAACTGGTTTAAAGCTAAGCATATTGAAGGGCAAATCAAAATTCTGTTTCCCAGGCCATTTTAAATGAGAAAACAATTTCTCCAATATCATTTGTCCTGACATTCAGCTAAAACAGTGCTTTGAAAAATGCAATCACTTTCTCACCTTCCGCTCACTGGTTCACAACAAGGCTTTGCTTCCTGCTCACACAGGGTTTGGACCCAACAGTGTCAATAAAATCCAGGATCAAATATGCCTTTGTTTAGAGATAAGACTTTCAAAAGAAGATAAAAAGAAAGAAGAGAGAGAATGGCTTAACAGTGAAAATGTGAGAGAAGTGGCTACAAGAGATCTAGAACATACAGCATGCATGTTTTCCTGCATCATCAAAACCCTTCTGATGTGAAGAAAAGTAATATTCTCCAATGTCCTGGGGTATAGAGAGGATTTTTACATGTCTCTTCTAACCTCTGTTCAGGTTGCAGTTAAAGGGCTTTTATACAGGATGAGCATTAAAAACAAGAAAAAAGGGTGTATAAACCCCAGTAAGATCCCTGAACTGAACATGAGGTGTCCCGTTGCTCGAGGACAGACACCACACGCAGTGATCTCCTTTCACAGTACAGTCTGCTCCACACCACAGCACAATTCCCACACTGGTGCCAGCTGCACACACGCTCAGCCGGCTTTTACATCACAGGCACGGGAAGCAGATGTTTATTTTCTTCATGAGACTTTTGGCTCCTGCTACAAACACAGACTATGCAGCCAACTCCCGTCTAACGGCAACACGGAGCTGAAGACAAGTGAGCAACGTGTCAGTGCAAACGATGGGTTCTGTCAGAGCCAAGGAACAGGGGAAACACAGGAACTGGAGTTGTGAGGCAACAAAGGAATCCCTGGAAATACAGATGTGCAGCAACAAGGGAATCCCAGCCACTCTGCTCCTTGGAGTAAGTCACTGCAATGCAACAGTTAAAGGAACAAATGTGGAAGCAAGGGAGAAAGAAGTGGCATGAAGTGCCAGGGGCTCTGAGGCCACACCTCACTCCACTGGACACCACATTCCTGACAGGTCTGCAGATGGATGGACCTGTTCTAAAAAGCATTTTCATGTGGTATGAGCTTAGGAGGGGGAAGGATGCGTTGTTCATATTTTATATCATATTCTGTTATGATCTACACATAGAAAGACCTTTTTCTATTTCATCCAGAATAAAGTTGTTTTTCTGGAATAAGAGCATCCATATGGGTAGTTATGCTCAAGTAACTACTCTGATAAAAGCTATACTGGTTTGTTTCCCTCTTCAGAGACACCTTAAAATCATTTTTCTCCAGACAAGTAGAATCTGTTTCTCCTTCAAGCTCTACACCAGGTATCAGCACTGGAGTAGAACTGCTGACCATTCTCCAGTTTCTCCAAGAGTGGTTCATATACAGGATCAAAGAGAAAAAGGGGGGCAAGGGAACACTGGATTTGAACAAAAATCTTTAAATATCCTGAAAAATGGGACAAAAATCCTTGAAAGACAGAGAAAAAAAGAAACAATGCTTTTTGTTTTGTTAAAGCCACAAAACTGCCTCCCAGTCTGGTGCACCAGCTTTACTGGGACAGCGCCATTAGACTGAAGCTCAGCATCAAAAGCAAGAGGACTGGATGGTGGCTGAGAAGGTGCACACACACAAAGAGAAAGTACATGGAATACAGTAGTTCTTCTGTGTCTTGTAATTTACAGTCAGGAGTTAGTTATCATATTTTTAGTAGCCTATTAAAAAGCACTGTGGTAACAGAATCATCCACATTCGGACTGTTGGCTTTCCCACAGTGTCCATCACTGGTTTGTATGACCTGCATATACCTAAACATGGTCCTGAAGAATCAAATAAACTGTTTCCAGAGTTAAAGGACACAGTTCCAAATCTAAGGACAAATTCTGCAGACTGTTACTGAAGGGCACAGTGCTCATCACAAGAGATCTGCAAGCACCAGTTCTTAAGGCTACAAGAAGACACACTCCCCATACAGTAGCTGTTAAGAAAACTATGGCTCAGGTAGCAAGAGGTTCTTCCTCATTCAAGCTGCCTTTCCGAGGCCATTCTTTACAGGAAACAAACAAAAATCACAGAAAAAATGCAAATGAACTACACGCTCATTGCTTTAGTATTTAAGATCACAGAACAATCTTAAAGAATAAGCAG